AAGATTTAATAGATCCTAGAAGCTATTGGTGCTTCCAAAACTTAATTTGAGAAAGAATGTTGAAGTGTATTCTGGCAAATTGAGGAGATGCACAATCTAAAGAAACACACATCATAGAACATATCACAAAAATGTGCACACCAAGGCAACTGACCAGAAAACTAAAGTACAAGAGCTTGTCTCTTCCAATCAATTGGCTGCATCCCGGCTGTAGTACTGATCGAGTGTCTTTGCTGGAATGCGATGAAGAAGCTCCCGTGGGAAGATCCGAAGGAGTGTCCATGCTAAATCAAGTGACTGGAAGATGTTGCGGGTATCATAGGCACCTTGAGCTACAAACTTCCTTTCGAATTTATCAAGGAACTCGAGATATAGCTGTTAATGCAATTATGCAAACATCGTCCCATAAGTCATCTTACATGGTATTAATGATAAGTTCAGAGACAAACTCATTATAGCACAGTACAGACCAGATCCTCTGAAGAAAGTGCTTCTTCTCCAACCACAGCTTTCATTGCCTGGACATCCTTTCCGATTGCATAGTTTGCATATAGCTGGAAATGGGGAAAAACAAAAAAAGATGAGTGGAGAACTAGGACGATATTTTGCAATGTGAATAGCTGATCATACCTGATTAGACACATCCGAGTGATCCCGGCGAGTCATGCCCTCACCAATAGCACTCTACCATAAAAGTGAAATCATATAGATCAACAGTGTATCATCTTCCAATCTTCTAAATAAGAAGTCAAACCAATCCAATCCAGCAATCTATGGTACTTACTTTCATCAAACGAGACAAGGATGGAAGCACATTAATTGGAGGATATATCTGTTCAGTACAAAAGGAAGCAAATGTTATCACGGAAAATTTATATTCCATAGACAAACCATAAGGAAAATATAGTTATAGCCAACTAGGAAGAATATTCCAGATTTGGCACATATAAAGCCATCTCTAAGACATCATCGCAAGTCATTTAAAATGATAGGAGCCGGTGTGCTAAGTGCTAACATTGTGGACTGACCTATATAAATTCTGACCCCAATAGATGCTTTTAGATGGCAATTTGCCGGACTTATAGCAAGTACCAGACCTTACTGAGAGTTGTCTAGGAATCCTCAAAAGTTGTGTTTATATAAGAACCTCTAATAAAACTCACCAGCAAATTTTTCACATTTTTTCTTCTGACTCTAACATTATGAGGTAGTTTTCTCATATTCAAAGGGAATTTTATATACATTCAAGGGACTAGGTAGATCTCATGAAATCAAATACAACTGCCTGACTGCTGTTGTTACTGCAGCTTCCAATGCTACTTGTCTTGCTTCTCTCTCAAAGATAACCCAAGAACTTTTATACTTTTGAGATTACCTATCAAAAAAAAAAAAGAAAAGAACTTTTATACTTTGATTTTTGACCAATTACACTCTCTTTTCTTTTTTCCCCCATCTTTTAGCAAAGGCCATCAACTTGAAGCAATATTCTCTGTTTTTTGAATATTGAGTTGAAACCTCCACTTAGATTTACACAAAAAATTATCATGGTAGAGAAAACCCACCAGTAGTCATTCTAGAGATGATCAAAGATGTGCCAGAAACTCAAGTGGGTCTTCTGGAGTTGAAATTCGAAGCACGACCTTTAATCCAATGGTCCACCATAAAATTGTTCGTACCAATATCAACAAACTAATTCATGCTGCTACAACAAATATCTACCTGCCGATTATGAAGCTGTCTGTCAATATAAATTTGTCCTTCAGTGATATAACCAGTAAGATCCGGGGTTGGATGAGTAATATCTGATCAATAAAAAAAATAGAACAAGCTACTTTTACAATCCATCAGAAAAAATAAAAATAATGTTCAGATAGGTGGTGTGGATGGCTAATATTATATTACCATCATTGGGCATGGTCAAGATAGGAATTTGTGTTATGGATCCCTTTCTTCCTTCAATACGTCCAGCTCGCTCATAGATTGTTGCCAGATCAGTATACATATAACCAGGATACCCACGCCTCCCAGGCACTTCTTCTCGTGCTGCAGAGACCTATAGTGGAAAATTGGTAATTTACTCGATGCACGTTGTTTAGATAGAAAATCCCAGTCAAAATAAATTTCAGGAAACACCTTGGGCTCAGTTTTGAGTTCTGGTCATATTGAAGAAAAAATAATCCTACATAGAAAACAAAATAATGACATAGATGTTACCTCACGAAGAGCATCAGCATAGGAACTCATATCTGTCAATATGACAAGAACATGCTTCCCACATTCATATGCTAAATATTCTGCAGTTGTGAGGGCAATGCGGGGAGTAATGATGCGTTCTATTGTTGGGTCATTGGCCTGCACAAAGAAGGTTAGTTATAAACAAGACAATCCACTACTTAACCCAGATAAACCTTGGAAGAAATAATAATCACTTCACTGAGTATCATTAATGGGTCAACAAATCACATAATTACCAGGTTCAAGAAAAGGGTCACTCTCTCCATTGATCCATTTTCCTCAAAATCACGTTTGAAGAACTGTGCTGTCTCCATGTTAACCCCCATAGCTGCAAAAACAATGGCAAAATTGTCGTCTTCCTGATCCTGCAGCATTGTTAGATCATGAGAATCAACTTGATAAATCTCAACCAACTACATGAAACAACTAAGTCTGATATATAAAACTGCTGGTTGCCAGGGAGCATAAAGGTCCCTAAAAAATTTCTCGGCATTTTGACAGATATATATTAGAATAAACCCACTAGAGACTGAAAAAAATTATACAATTTACTGGACCATGTGTTTGATATACATGATAAATTGTTCAAAAGGTATCTTTAAGGCTATGTTTGATAGCCATTATTTTGCCTAGAACTAGGAAAATAATTTCCATTTTCTCCATTTTGGCTTGTTTGATAGTCAATAATTTCCCTAGAAAATATTTTCCCACATGATGACTCACCTCCCCAAATTCCTTCAAATTGATGAAAATGCTTTCCCATTGGTGGTAAAGCATTTTCAATGTTCTGCCANAAAAATTTTTTTTTTAAAATTTTTTTTTTTTTTTTTTACTTTTTGGCAATGTTTTCAAATTTTATAACCAATTTTAAAAAAAAAAAAAAAAATCATTTTAATGGATAATTTTCATGTAAAATAAAGCCAAACGTGAACAAAAAAAATCCAAAATTTCAAATTTTTACCGGGTGGAAAATTATACCAATCAAACACACTTAATTAACAATTCCCTGCAAAACAATTTCTAGGCAATTACTTTCCCTGGAAATCATTTTGTTTCCACCCATTTTCCACCATCGCAATCAAATGCACCCTAAAAGTAGGTTACTAGCAATTTTGGGTAAAAGGGCCAAATCTGGGGATTTATGTTCATATTAAAGATGGAAGAAAGTTCTTTCAACAATACTGACAAAAATAATTTTCCTCCACCAATTTTGGCTTATTCATCAGCATAATATAACAATTTTATTGCCAAGACTGAATGCAGTGACACTCATTAATCATTATTCTATTATGTCGAAAATAGCAGAAATAGAGCATCCAGGGTAAAAAAGAGATTATCTATGGTAGGCACGTTAACACATGGGATTTTCTTGTACCTCAAGGAGATTATCAGATTTCTCCAACCGCTTCACTAAACCAGCCTGACGACAGATCTGGGCAGCAATTTCATTATGGGGAAGACCAGCTGCAGAAAAGAGAGGAATTTTCTGTCCTCTGGCAATTGAATTCATGACATCAATTGTTGAAATTCCTGTCTGTATCATTTCTTCAGGATAGGTTCTCTCACTAGGATTAATGGAACTCCCTGAAGAAGAGAATTTGAATATATTATTAAATGTGGACGAAAGATGTATGCAGACAGAAGATGTTCGGTCATTCTCTAGAGACACTCGCCAGAAATATCCAAGTAAGCCTCGGGCAAAATTGGAGGACCATTGTCAATAGGTTTCCCAGAGCCATTGAATATACGACCAAGCATATCCAGTGAGACAGGTGTTTTTAAAACCTGCATCATGGGGTAAACATTCTTAAGAAGGCAAGAAAGACACATTGAGAAAATGCAAAAAAATGGAGAACTCGATGATATCAAGTGGATAAACATTATTAAGCAAAAAAACCAAATTTCCAGAATCACAATACCTCACTCCAATCCGGATAAGTTCAGGAAACTATTATTTCTATTCACAACATGAGATATCCTTACGAGTATACTAAAAGTAACTGCAAGCACCTGATTATAGCAGCTTAAGAAAGAAATATAGTTTCTTCGCTATGCCAAGAACTTAATAAGCACCAAGAATCACTTAAGATGTGCAAATTATGCAATACTAAATTCATGATCTTAAAGCATAATTTGGCTGCATAGCCATTTTTTTATGTCCATGATTCATTTAGATCCAGAAGGAACTTCTAAAGTGTGAGTGAACCCAGAAAAACTGACAAATTGAACATATAGACCATCTGTACCTCCCCTGTAAACTGGACAGTTGTATATTTGTTGTCAATTCCAGACGTTCCTTCGAAAACCTGGTGAAACAAACAAGGAAAGAAAAATAATATTCTCGCAGAAACTAAAGAAGAGACAACTGATTACTGCTTTTCAGTGAAGAGAATTAATTCGTACAAGGTAAAGCAAAGCAAAAATCATACATAAGAAAAATAAGTCTGATAACAAATTGACAGTGATATTTTACAATGTATTCACTTGAAGTCACAGAGTATAAGAGATGTCAAGGATAAACACCTGAACAACAGCTTTCTCACCATCTACTTCCAATACTTGTCCACGTCGTGTTGTTCCATCTCCTAAGCGAATATTAACAATCTCCTGGTATTTGGGTCCCTGAAATAATTCCATACAACACGTGAAGTTATAGAGTCATTTCATAAGCAGAAAACCACAGTCATTCCACGTACAAGAAACCAAAGTAATACAAGGAGCAGAATATTCACCTTAACTTTTTCCAGGATAACCAATGGTCCAGCAACTCCAGACACAGTTCTGTATTCTGAAATATCAAGAGAATAAAAGTATGCATCAACCTTATTTAGCAAGCACAAAGTACAATAGAGAAGCACATGACAGAAAATGTATATTATTTAACTTCATAAAATCCTATGGATTAGCCACCTAATTGATACTAAGCACTAAATCTCTAGTAATACTTCAACCTCTGATAATATTCCTTTGGTCATTCAATCTCTTTTATTATTTGTTCATTCAAGTTTGTTCCCTCATCACATATGCCCTTCCAACTTTAAAGGCCTCGTTTCCTCTATTTTCTCCCCTGATCCTGCTTGCTGTTCGCCAGAGTTGTTTCAAATCATGCTAAAACTTACAAAGTTCTGCTTTCTCATCATAAGACCGCCATAAATTTGGATATTGAGAGATGGATAATGCTTTTGCGATATTGGTGTTGGGTTCCCACTCTACGGTTATATTCAAAGATGTGTGCAGGACCTTCTGCATTGCAAACAACGCCAGAATTAATCAGATTCAACCTGGCATGTTTCTGTTTTGACTTTCCAGCTTACCTTGCTAAACCTTTGGTTATGGAACCAGGACATTGGTAGTTGTTCCTTAGATAAAATATTCCTCTCCAATTGGACCTCTTGATGACTAGGAGAAATCCAAGATATTCATTTTGATCCAGTTGCTTGTGCTTAAGCTGCAATACTCGAGAAAGAAACTTTTGAATCATAGCCAGAATCAGAGGGAACACCCTATTTCTGGATCAGATGGCAACAAATAGAGCGTTTCAATCTTGTAAGGAATTACTGTTGAGATAGGGATTGACAATTATCTTGAGTTTTTGATTGCATTGGCAAGAAAAATCTAATTTTTCTAAATCATGGAGCCCTACACGAAGCCTGATGACTCTTCCTTCTCGTCTCCCTCCAAACTTTTGGGATCTTACGTCCATTTTTTTCTAAATTTCCCCCCTCCTAAATCTAGTTTGCCCCGTTCCAAACTTTTGGACTGCACGTAAAGCACAAGAAGGAAAACTTCCATGTATATCACCTTCATCTCTGTAGTCTTGATTTATGTTGTACTTTATAACAACTCGAGTATGAAATCAGACCAATACAAAGCATAGATAAACTGTGAAATTAATTTGATTCAAATGGAACAGGGGAAAGACTGGTAATTGGTAAAGAAACATATTAAGTAAGGCGGTCAAAGGTTCAATATACATTCTGCGATAGATAACTACAATCAGCAGTATAGTGCTAGAAAATGGATTCAGTAAGATGGTGAGCAATTTGACACCAAACCACGCAATAGCCTGAGTCACTTTATTCACTGCCTCATCATGATAAACCAACCATGTTAACTTTTCTAGTTCATTTGGTTTATCACTGGAAACAATAATGACGGAAATGTTGGGCTACAACAATCGAGCTAGATGGTCCATGATAGAGCAAAGTGGAAGAAGAGGATTAATGCAATTATGCAACTGAGCCTAGATAACTATAGAATAAGACTTTTTTATGTCACGTCGATTTAATTCATGGAGTTCATTTCGCATGATGAAGGTAACATTACCTTTGGCAGCAACTTTTCTCCCAATCTCCCAAGTTATTGTTCAGGAGGTGGAAGAGTGCAAGTGAGATTGTAAATATTTTCCTTTTTCTATTACAAGATTGCCAATTGTTTAATTTGGTTCTATGATGCCACTCAGAAAGTATACAAGTTGGACACAACGAGCAAACCTACTCTAGCATTCACAATTGATAAATGCTCGTTTCCTAGCCTACCATCCATCCAAGAAACAATTTACACAATCTGATTTCATCTTAAATCAAATATGGCTCAAAGACTAGCAATCATTTGCTAAACAAAAGTCATGTATCATGAATTACATAATCCACAATCAGCAGGACATTGAAATAAATACAGAATATATACATTTATCACGCAAGAAAGAATTACTCTTGGAAACATACCCATCCCAATTTCAAGAGTTCCTTCCTCCATGTCAACGTTGTTTTGAGCCACACCCATAATTTATCCTTGACTAATCCAAAAAATTGCCAACAAAACTGATATTAGTTAAAAATGAATGCGATCATAAACAATAACAATTACTAACATTTCAACTCATTCTGGAATCCATAGAAGAGAACATTTTAACAGATGCATAACGTTTTACTCCTTTGAATCCTACTAATTATATATTTAAAAACACATATTTGGCCTACTTGAGTGCGCAGTATACTAACCTGCATATAGTGATTATAACAATTACAGAAAATGAATAAAAACTACCGTTTAAGGGTCAATCAATGTGAATTATGAACATAAAATACACATTTACATCGAAATAGGAATTAAATTGGATGAAGCTGAGTCGTGACAAAAAATTTGAAACAGTAGATTCTAAAATTGATCTAGGAATTCGCTTACCCTGTGTTGTTGAAATCTCAAAAAGAGACAAACGAGACAGCAAGGGAGAGAAGAAGAATTCGTCAGGGAAGCAAAACGAATATCTGGTTAGGCCTGGACAAAAGCCCCGAACCGAACCGAGTGGAGTCTAGTCGAACGAAGCGATTCATAAATTAAATATTCGAACCCATATTTGAATCTAGAATTGGGTTTGGTTCGAAACCGAACCGAATCTAAATAATTTTTTTAATTTTTTATATTAAATTAATTAAATAATTTTATTTTTTTCTAAACAAATTAGCAAATTTAAATAATTTTCTACTTTTNAATTTAAATAATTTTCTATTTTTTGGTATTTGTATATCTTGAATTAATCTTATTGGACAGCTTGTTATTTATATATTTTTAAATTGAGCTACGTTAATTTGTAATAGTTACGAATGAACATGTTATTAGTTATATTTATGTAGTGTTGTTGTAAATGTTAAAAAATTTAATTATGGTACGGAACCGAACATAATCGAACCGAATTGAGTCCGAACGGTTCCATAATTATATTTGAACCCAACGGTTCCATTTATTAAATACCCGAAAATTTTGGGTCGGTTCGATTCTGAAGAGAACCGAATTGAACCATATCCAGCCCTAGATCTGGTGGTGGATATGAGATTTATAATTAATTCATCTAATATTCAGCAAAAATACGTAAATTTATTTGTTCTATAATTAGGACACAATTGTTCCACCCTTCGTGTCATGCCTTCATCGCCAGGACAGGGTCAGCGCATATGATGACTATCACGTAAAGATTTGATGGTATTTATGTATGAGGTTCAATTGTTTCTTATTCTGCTATATTTTGAAAGTTGAAAATTTTTGTTGTACTGTTTGAATTGAGTTTGTATCAAATAAAATATATAATTCGACCTTTTCTTTTGAATAAAAAAACACAAAAAAAAGAATCGTACGTGCTTTATTCCGCGATCCGAGATTACATGAGAGTCTCGAACTATAGAAAATAATCTCTTTCGCAAAAAGAGAAGGTCAACCATAAAGGAAAGGCAATATGCACTCCACGACATGCTAACTATATTTTAATAATTGCACATTGTTACGTTTTTGTTATCATGCTCGACAATTTAAGATAAATTTCATCTTTAAGATTTGATAATTTCATATTGTTATTTTTTTGGATTTGAACATTTTGATATTTGTTAAGTATTATGAACTAAAGTTGTGCATTTGGAAAGTTTAAGATAAATTTCATCTTCGGTCACTGAACTTTCAACAAAATTGTACTTTAATTTATCTCAATTGAGTTTACTTTTTTGAATTTGTGTACTAAACTTCAATTTAATTTTCAATTTCACCCCTCCATCACCTCCTACTCTCTTCCAAATGGTTAAATTTTTTTTGCATATTCAACAATGAATCTTCCACGTAATCGTGACATTATAATTTACCACTACGCTATATCATACTCTGTATGATGAATGAGCCATATGATAGGAAGTATCAGTACGCATGACCTCGTACAGCCTTCGATGTACTTCTGAATTGAACAAATACAAAGAGAAAAACAAAGAAAGAAAGAAAACCGTAACAAAGTACGACGTAGGGGTGTCGTAACTGAAAATGAGATACATGATTAAATATCAGCCTGCTTTTGATGTTCTGGCTACAGGTGGTAATACAACTAAATCAAGGTTCCCAGGATAAGGAGACCACAAACCTAATCCTCCTCTACTCTCTTTCAATTCGGCCTTTTTCTTGAACTCATCTAAAGATTTTACCCATTCGACCTTAGATGAATGCTCCCGTGTGTGTGGGTGTAAAATAAAGATCGAGTTATATTCACAATTCGGAAACATAAACAATTTGAACACACCTCCTAGCCTGTAAACTACATATCCAAAGCTTAGCTGATCTCTAGGTGTAAAAAGGTTAACCTCGTTGAACCATAAGCAACTAAACAGATTATTCAGAGCTGTATGCTCGCGTATGATAATGGCTCCTTCAGGCACATCTGCATTTAAAGAAATTATGTGGGGTCGTGTCAAAAACCGATACAGAAATAGATAATTATTACATATTTAGTGAATCCATCGTCTTACCACTAACAGTGCCTTTATTTGGACTCCATGGTTCCATGCCCTCGTAACGATATATTTTCATGTGTAGATCAATTAGAGGACGAGCATATCGCTTCCTCCGTTTGTTTGCATCAGCCTCTTCATATATGCTGCGATGATGTTTGTGCTGAGCAATGGCAAAAGTGTGCTTCTCGCGCCATAAATATCTGCAAGTTAAGATGGTTACCATTAAACAGAGTTCTATCACTCCATATATGCTGGACACACAAACACAACTCAGTTTATTCTCCCCAGAGATGACACACAGACATGTTAGTCTCGAGACATCATGGATGAACTCCCATTAAACTCATCACCTTTACACAACAAATCTACACCCCACTCCCAGAGGAAAGTTTATGATAAGAACTATCATACCTTTCTAGCATAAGCAATGGGTCAACTATAAGCTCCATTTTACCATCAATCCAGATGCTGTACTGGGCTTGAGGAAATAACCTATGGGTTAATATCTTAGGAACTTTGCCATTTCTTCTAGGTTCATCATAAGGTTGATGCTTAAGCTGAATCAGACGCCATATACCCACCCATTGTCCTCCATCATTATCCTCTCTGACTGTAACATTATTCTTGATGAAGTCAAGAGACACTTCATCCACCACCATAAGAAAACAAAATAGCCTCTGAGAGCGTCTACTAATATTTGATGGCTGATGAGGCGTATCATAACCATCAAAAATGCCAGATGCAACAACAAAACGACATTTCTTCACGTATTTGATGTCTGCTGCAGCCATTTCTGCACCACCACCTTGCATAAAACCACAATGCACCTGGAGGAAGGATATACTCCAGCAGTCAACACCAAATTTTAATCTAAAAGATTATGCTTTATCATTTTACAAGCAATGTATAGATCATAAGTTAAACTACATAAAACTTTAACCAACAACGTAACTCTGAATGTTTCCACCTAAAAGTAGAAAGAATGAAAGAAAACTGAATTGGCTCAGTGGGTATTCAGCAGTTCAAAAATCAATAGAGCATAAACTGGTAACAATGAAGAACTTAAATTCGTCTAAATATACCACTTTGGAATTAGTATCTTGAAGTCTGGATAAATATAGCTATTAAGCTATTGTTATCCTATTTTCAGGGAAGATGCTATATCTTTGAATTCATCTTTTTCTAAGTATAAACTGTATCAAAACTCTTTTAACATGATTATGATTGTTTTTTAGGTCATTTCCTTAAAACCGGTATTATGGTTCCTGTATTTTGTCAGAACCTTAGAACCTCGACAAAAGATGCCTAAACTTTAAACCTGACGGAATCCACAAACATGAATCAAGGAAAATATTTAAGCTCTTCAAAAACTACTGTAATAGTTATTTGATAAGGACACAAATTGGCCTTGAACCTTATGTTTTCAGACCAAATTATCAAAACGAAATACCCATATATCATAGAAAGGCAGAGCAACTTATCACCTTCATGGTTGGTTTTACTTTATAGCTCTCATCTCTTTGCTGCCAGGTCTGATGACCCCCAAATAGAGGAGGTGATTGGGATCCATTTCTCACGATATTATCCTCCATGATATAGGATAGATGTTGGACTACATCAGAAGATTTTCTCTTGGGAATAACTATTTCATTCGGGTCATCAGCAACAGGAATAGGACAGCCTAGTTGTTAATGAGAATAAAAAGTTTTAAAGCAATATCAGTACGTTAAGACAAGAATAGAAAAAAATTATGGAGAGAAATCTCTAGTCTTACGATGAAGTGATTTCATGAGTCCCATTGTGTTTAGCATGCCAAATACTTTACTCTCTTTGTTACAAAGAGCTGCACATCAAGTAAATGAAACAAAATAAAAAAATTAATCATCGAGGAGGAAAATTGTTCTTGACACCGTGGCATATAATTAACGCACTCTCTTGGTAGTTAAGATTTTAGACACTCTATGACAGCTGCTACTCATTAGTGTACGATGGACTAGCTTCACACTGAGAGGATCATCAACAGTTAAATCATTTTCTATTCTTCCTATATATTTGCTGCAAAATTTAATGAATAGATGAATTAAAAGTCATGACTTCATCAATCAGCAAAGATCTAAGGATTCATCAACCTCAGACATAATACCAGAAAACCTAGACAAAGTTTTATGAGACATTGCATAAATTCATGAAGATAAGGGAGCAAAAATTTTGTGAAGATCTTTTGATTTTCCATTATTTCCTCTGACTCCCTCATTTGACATGACCAATTGATCCAAAATCATCCCATCTTCAAAATCTACAGAAGTCTTCCCACCGATTACACCAGACATGTTTTCGAAAGCAAAGTTCAATCTTTACATGAAAATATATACAAAAAATTCAGAATTATAAACGCCATAATTATATATGAATAAGGAAAAAGCATAAATAGTACCTGAAAAGAAAGCAACAGAAGATTGGCAAGACCAAACATGAAATAACAACACTGAGAGAATTAGCAACATCCATATGATCCCGGCTGTAAGAACCAGCCGAATAAAACCCCTTTTCCAAATTATCCTCATGGTGTAATCCTGCGGTAACTTCCCCCCACTTAAAATATCTACATTAACCAATTTTTAATCAAATAATCAATAAGAATACACCATCTAAAAATAATTACAAATGAATAAATGCTGAACGTACATTTGGCTTGCTGTTGCTGATTTCTTCGAGCAGCCCGCGAAGAGACGGACCGCTGAAAATCTTTGTCCATGATTAACGCCTCAACCGGAATGGACTCATTTTCATCAAGAAATCCTCACGAATGCAACATTCAAAGAGCGTGTAAGTCTAATATGATCTAGATCTGTCTAAGAGCCAAACTTGATTCAAACAAACGAAGTAATCTTTACGAATTGATCTAGTAGAGTGTGGGGGTTGTATAGAAGGGAGAATTAGTGGATGTAAAAGTTTCAATTTCTTGAATCCGAGAACGAATAGGAAAAGATGAGATGAGAAATGTTGAAATAGAACGACGTCGTAGTGAACACTGCCGTTGCCCGCCGACGCTGCATTTCCTTCCTAATTGATTGAAAACGCTTTAATGAATAAACGAGTCCGGGTAAAATCGTGTTCTTTTGAAAAGGAAACGCTGCGTTTTCCAATAAAATGTGCGCTTTTGGACTTTTCGCGGTATTTTTCTTAAAATCCCGTTTTCTAGGGGGAGAACAACTGAAATTCAATTTTTCGAGCAACCTCATTGGGAAAATATCGTATTTAAGAAATTAAGAAGGACCCATTTAAAAACTAATAAACAGTATTTAAAATTTCAAAAATCAGATGTTAATTAAGTTTTATTGATGAAATAATTAACTAAAAATATATTTTGTTAATTATATATATTAATGTCATAATTATATACAATTTTGTCACAAATTATTCTATTAATGGGTGATAAATTATTTTTCAATCTCAAATAAAAAAAAATCAAAATTTTATAAATCACAAGTTATTTTATGATCACAAATTATCGTATTAATTGGTTACAAGTTATTTCTCAATCACAACTCAATAAATTGTGAGTTATAATTAAATTTTTTAGGTTACATATTATTTATTGGTTACAATTAATCAATTTATTGATCACAAATTAATCAATTTTTTGGTCACAATCAACCAAATAATTGGTCACAAACACCACACCATCACGGCACCACCCGATCTCATCCCATCACATCCAACCTTACCCACGACCACCACACCACCACCACAACTACCACCGCCTCACCAAACTGTGCAAAACCACCACCTCAGCAACCACACCACCACCATACAACACAACAACCGCAAACCATCACCATAGTACTCGACTCTTCGAAATTCAACCCACCCATCCCTCTAGCTAAGGCCTCCATCACGCCCTCCTTGTTATGAACACCACTGCCATTAACATTATTGTTATTACTTCTAGTACTATCTCCACTGCCACGGGCTTTAGTCGAGGGCGAGGCATCAAATGACGGCGAGCGATCATTGGTCTCAAAAACAACAATTAAATTTAATGGGGTCGGCTATACAGAGGTGAATCGTATGGATTGAGGGAGTTCTAGGTAATTGAAGTCCTCCCCTTGCATGTTGAATTCAAGAAAAGTATACCAACTGTGTTTGTCGGAGTCATAAAAAAGGACTCTAATAAATGGGATTGTTCAAATCGCATAAGTCTTATAATCATGAAGCGGGGAATTCCAGCAACATTCAGGGGGCGTTGTGTCCGATAATGTAATTTCTTAAAGAAATTTAAAAATACTTTGCAAAAGATGATAAGGTCGAAACTAGAATACTTCTAGCGAACTTGGTTTTACTAAAGTATAATGCCAAAGAAAACATAAGGGATATCATGGATATGTTTCATCTTATTCCAAAACTAAAGACATTAAAGTTTGAGATGTGTAATAACTTGCTCGTGCATTTGGTTTTGATTTCTCTTTTGCACAATTCGGCTAATTAAGGTCAGTTTCAACTATCAAAAGCGAAATTTGACTCTTAATGAACTCAATTCATATTGTGTACATTAAAAAGAAAAACTAAAGCAAGAGAGAATTGAAAGTACTCGCTTGGCAAGTACCTCTAAGGACAAATTAAAGAATAAAGAAACTGCATCTAGTTCAGTTAAAAAGAAACAACAAAGGCTTGAAAAAGATAAATAATAGGACTGTTACTTTTGTACAAATCTAGAATACATAAATAGAAACTATATTGAATACAATGCGGTGTGTAAAGAAAAGTACATTTCTCACTTCGGTTTGTTTTAAGATTAATTTAGTTTCAATACTAAGACACATTTGGTGGATAAATTCTGGTGCCACTACTCACATAAGTGTGTATATGCGAGGTTGTCCACACCAACCCACCACCAATGCACTCATCTTCCTTTCCTTACACTATTAACTCACCACTTACTTCATCTGTCGCCACCCAAACTAAACTCTATTGGTTGCCATATACCTACCACCTTTTCTATCACCACACCATTAGTAAATCACCACCTCCACCACATTCCTCTTCATATGACCATCCAAAACCTAATCCAACCCTGTCGTTCCATTGTTCTATCACGACTCAGCAATAAAACCCTACACCATACCATATTCTTCTCACTGCCACACATACCACTAGTCACAGCCACCTCCAAAGACACCACCATCTATACCTCACCTTCATCATCCTCCACCCTGGTGACCAACTGACCTTACACATTAAACAAATACGCTACAATCTCCAGAAGGTGCAGTGAAGTCTGTCCACCACCAATGCTACATTCGAGGTTCACCAGCCACTAGGTCTCACACTAGCTATCAACATTTTCCAAATTTTCTTAACCTTATATGTCGACCGGAGATATTGGAAGAGGAAATTGTTTGGTCCCATCTGGCTATCCATTCATTTCAATCATTTGAACTGAACAAGAATATATGGTGCTCCACTAACATGTCAATTTGAATCTCGAAAGGTATATCGATTATGTTATTTGAAAGCTCTATTTTCTATTTAAGTGTTTGTGGCCAGTAACATCTCATATAAAAAAATAAAAAATGATAAAAAGGTCATATCATGCTACATACAATTCATATAACACCTTTAACACCTACAACACACCCCTAACTCCGTCTCATAATAGTATGTGTTACATGTCTCCTAGTCAGTACAACAATCCTTCATCTCGGAACTATGTTGACACCGTTCATTATTCTTCTCAACATGTTCCATCACAACCATGGGATTTTAATGGTCTCACTGGACATGACTTATTTCTCAATTGGCTCGATAGTCTTGAAATATTCTTTGCCTATCACAATTTGAGTGACTCACGTAAAATTTGTCATGCTAGTATGTCATTAGTCGGTTCTACTAAGACTGATTGGAGATCGTATTTTCGTAACCGTCTAGATCACCGCACTATCACCTTGTGGGGTGAGATGAAACAAATCCTAAGTAATAAATATGCCCATGTCTATTATCGAAATTATTTGTTAATCAGTTCTTTTACACTATAAGCAAGGTACTTCCACTGTTTGTGAGTATTTAGCCCATTTTGAAGAGTTGCTAAAAAGTTGTTATATTTATAAGGTTCCCCATATCACACCGTCTAGGTTTATCAATAATTTGAATCCTGAAATCTTGCATAATGATATTACTTCATTCTAGTCTCTAGATAACGTTTATCAACATGCTAACCTATGGAACATGTCTTTTCATCTTCGCTAAGCATGTCATAAACTAGGTATGTCATCATAGTTCAGACAATCACCTCCCGAGTCTAGTTGTATTCCTCTTGAGAAATATAATAATGTTTTCATTATTGAGCCAATTGAATATACTGATAACGAGGATGAGGAATTATATATAGTGTTCCCAACTAAGTCAAACAGTCCTACCTATCCTCAATTACGTGCTGAAAATTGATATTGCCTAATCTGTTTCATGATTATAACATTGACTTTGATATGATTTTACATCCTCTGTGTAATTCTTCTCAGGTTACCATGTTGTCCATCATAGTTGTCAGTTCACACACTATTTTGATCAACATTTATATTTGTATTCACCGGACAAACAATTGTGTTTAACCATTTAAGGTATATGACACAGTTGTGAATACAATTATAAGATGTGGAATTCAAGTATATTCTATAAATACGTGAGGGATTGGAAATACTTGAATTAATATTGAAAAATAAGTTTAGGGTATAGCGAGATGTAATGTTCTTCTAGTAGAACTACTATATATCTTTAACATGATTACAGTACCTTGAGCTATTATATTATTTGTTGGTCGTACGATCCATTTGTCGTATGAATTTTTGTGAAATAGATTTTCAAAAAGATCGAACGTGTGACATTCATTGTCCCTTGTGATTCAGATCAAACCCATCATGTGTGAGTGAGAGATATTAGAAAATATAGGTCATGGATCGCCCATGTGGGGTGATCCGACCCACAAGACATTAAAATGATTGGAGGGAATTGAAATTTTCATCTCTCCATAACCTCACATAACTCCCATAAAACCTCCAATTTTTGTCTAGTAATGGAGAAAAAAAGGATGGTAGAAAATAAGTGAAATTCGTATGAAAAATCACTCAAAAATAGAAGAGTGCCTGGAACCACATGTATGGCATGAAAACTCACAAAATTAGGCATTTAGATTGTAGATAATATAAGAGATATTACATCAATAATGTGCATATTATATTCATCAAGAACATGCCGTTAATATGCGTCAAATCGAAATTTCATTCGACTTACCAAAATCTGATTTGAGGAAACAAATTAGTGAATTACCGATTTCGAATATTTGAATATGGATTCACCACTTTCCAATCTTGAACGAGTGTCATTCTTTAATTCAATGTGATTCAAGAATATGTGATTCAACCAATGCTAGAAAATGCAGAATTTGACACTCGAAAGCAATGTGATTCAACCACACAAAAAGATCTTGAAATTTATCAATTCAAGTAAGCATCTTGACCCGAGAATTCATGTTTATAAATGCTTCGAATTACTTCAGTTTCCATTCGAGAGATATTGGACAAAATGGATGTTGGAGTTGACCACTATGCTGTTTTGTGCTTGCCATCCCGTGAAGAAGGTGCCTTGCTTTCGGGTAAAGAGATAACAAAGGCCTATCGATTGAAACGCAGGGAATTGCACCCCGAAAGCACCTGCTGATTTATAAAAGCTTCTAACATCTTATGATGTTCTGAAGGATGAGAAGTCTAGGATTTTTTTGGTCTACTTCAGGTGAAGCAGGAGAAGCTTCAATGCCAAGCACAGCAAAATTCCAAGCGGCGGAAGATGATGTCAGATCTTGAAGAAAGAGAGTGATCAGCTACCCCAGTGTGAGAGCTTGAGAAGACGAAGACACGATTTCTTGGAAGCTGAAAGAGGAGATTGTGCTGAATTCGTGCTATGCATACTAAAAAAGTTTCAGCTGATAGAACGACTTCAAAGAGACATACAGCAGCAAGGGAGAAAGGTAGTATGAATGCTGAGGTAATGGATTAGACAAGGAGAAGATGCTAAGGTTTCATGGGAGAAGATTGGTGGAAGACTAAAAACCTCAAAGACTTGAGAGAAATATTTAGAAGTTTTGGTGCAGTAGACGATGTAGTCATCAAGAGTTTCAAGAAGAAAGGATCAGCTCTTGTTGTAATGGCATCCAGGGAGGCGGCTGTAAGTTTGTTTTTAAGTTCCGAGAAGAAAGGATCAGCTTTAGTTTCTCAAGGAGCATTGTTTTGGCTGTTTGCAGCCTCTGGGAATGTGCTGGGGGAACTTTCGAATCCTCTCCTAGTTTTGCCACTTCAACCAACGTCATCATCAGCTATTCTCAGTGCTGACAGAATCACAGTGTCTGGATTTTTAGCTAGAAATAAAATGTTTTAACATGATGGTGAAAGCGCCAAAAGTAAGGTAGCAAAAACTAAGTAGCCTTGGTATTTTACCATATTGGGATTCACAGTTCCTTCTTTCTTTATGTTATTCTTTTTTGTTGGCATGAAAGGGTGGGGAACCATAGAATTGTAGGCTCTTGGGATAGTTCTTCTAAATTTTTATGAAGAAGAGAGAGCTACCGAAGGACATTCATAACTTACTTTATTCTCATCCCCAGAACAAACTTTCTCCAAATACTAGACAATCCCGTTCCAGTTATAGGGAAAGGATGATAGTGCAATTTACAAATTGGAAAGGTGAACATATTTTCAGTTTTGAGGAAGACTGTGCTTGGATAAACAGATAAAAGACCCTAAATATGTTGAGTTAATGATTTAATTCTTATGTTACACGGAGCATAAAACAGATTAGATACTTCTTTTGTTCTCTTCAGGCAACCTTCCCTCTTCTGGTTTTAAGAAGAAAATGAATAGTTGATTAGTAGCCAGAGCAGCAAGAATCAAATAGTTTGTCATGGTCTATTACTAGTCATGGGCAATGCAAGTGGTTAGAGAATGTAACTTTCTGTCTTGGACTTATTCGGCGCCTCATGCTCATGCATGTGGCAAATGTCTATCAACGATCAACCTGGATATTAAGCGAACAGAGAACAACAGTATTATTATTCATATTATCGTCGTACATCCTTCTTGACATTCAGGTTACTCCAATAATTCATTGCCTTCAACGATCAACCTGTGGCAAATGTAACTTTCTGTCTTGGACTTATTCGGCGCCTCATGCTCATGCATGTGGCAAATGTCTATCAACGATCAACCTGGATATTAAGCGAACAGAGAACGGCAGTATTATTATTATTCATATTATCGTCGAACATCCTTCTTGACATTCAGGTTACTTCAATAATTCATTGCCTCCAAATTGTTTTTGGAACCAGTATCTTGAACTTGTAATGACACGTGAGAATAGGATCGTTTATCCATTGAGAATCTAAACAATTGTTTTCTTCTCATTATACTTTGAACAAATCTGCAGACTTTGAAAGAAGCAAGGGCCAGAACTGCTTGCCCATTTTGACAGGGCTTGGGCAAATTGCTCTCATGATGCTCAAGAGGGATCTTGAAAGGTAGAGAGCTGTTGGGCCTCCTCCTTTTTGGTTTAACCACCACGACTCACCTGGCTAAATTTTTCTAAAGTTGAGTGCCAAAGTTTCCTCATGTCTCATTTCTTCTAACTTTCTGTCTTGGACTTATTCGGCGCCTCATGCTCATGCATGTGGCAAATGTCTATCAACGATCAACCTGGATATTAAGCGAACAGAGAACAGCAGTATTATTATTCATATTATCGTCGTACATCCTTCTTGACATTCAGGTTACTTCAATAATTCATTGCCTCCAAATTGTTTTTGGAACCAGTATCTTGAACTTGTAATGACACGTGAGAATAGGATTGTTTATCCATTGAGAATCTAAACAATCGTTTTCTTCTCATTATACTTTAAACAAATCTGCAGACTTTGAAAGAAGCAAGGGCCAGAACTGCTTGCCCATTTTGACAGGGTTTGGGCAAATTGCTCTCATGATGCTCAAGGGGGATGTTGAAAGGTAGAGAGCTGCTGGGCCTCCTCCTTTTTGGTTTAACCACCACGACTCACCTGGCTAAATTTTTCTAAAGTTGAGTGCCTTTCAAAGGAGTACAGAGTAAAGAAGAGCAAATTCATACAAACTGAAGACCATAAAGAAGAGACAGAATTGACTGAGCAAATCAGAGTAACGTACTTCTTACATGAATTCTTTGAAATTAAATGGTTTGAGGACTTCGGAATGAGTCGAATGACCATTCTTTACCGTAATTAGCTCAACTCATATGTCCTATTCTCAACTAAACATTACACCGTCCAAGCAACCATAGAATTATAGAAATGAGAATATCATTCAAGGGACAGAAAACACACACTAACTGAATAAAGAAAGGAATTTTATAGCGTGTTAAGTAAAATTGAACTTTCCCAGTTAAAATATCAAGGGAATATAACCAGTTAAGTTAGACTTCTTCAGGTATGCTGTAGAGAACAGGCATCCAAGAACCCCGGCTTCTGACCTTCGCTTGGGTGGCTCTTACTACATGCCTTCTGCGCATGAAATTCAAGCGCTGTTCCAAAGACATAGATGGTGTGGATTGACATGGAATTCCTCTGCTATCTCTAATCACCTCCACCACTTGCTTTAGATCTTCCTTCTTCACCCGGATTTTCAGCTTCATCGATCCATTTTCAGAAGCTTGGCAAACGGCTTCTCCGCCATTAACCTGTGCAATGGAATTCAGAATGTTGCTCACAACTGCTTTGTGATTTCTACCTCTTGAAACTCTGAATTCTCTTCTTTGCCAAGACTTCTCCTCTGCAACTTTCAACTCCATTAGCTCCTCTCTCGACTTCTCAACTTTTGTCGTCTGGTTAGGTTGTTTTTGCCTCTGGGTGTTCCAACTTTTATAGTGATCTCATTCCAATTAATAGCTGACAACTTCCATTCTTATTCTCTCTCTGTGTATATATTAGCATTTGACTTTGGTAGAAGATTGCCCGTAAATCCGTTAACTTGAACCATTCTTCAATGAGATAAAGTTGCGTAATTTAGGAGAGTCTGTTACTTCACTTTTAATTTTGCTCATCATCACAGAATTCTAATCTATCTGAATCTAACAAATGATTTTCGACTTTTATTATATTTAGAGCTCATTTGGTGAGGATTTTTAAAATCAAAAGCCGCTTTTGAAAATTAGAAGCGATTTTTGAACATATTTGAATAATTTTTAAGTAGCGTTTTGTCTAATTAAAAGAATTTTCAAATGGCGTTGGCCTAAAATAACGTTTTCGATAAGCTCTTCTACAAGAAGTAAATGCTCAAGCCCTACTAAATAGGTTCATGATAATTTATCTGAGACATGTTTGGTACATTATAACGAATAAGATACCAAAATTTCCTTACTAAAGATCATGTCGTGAACAGACGTTAGGGCTCGTTAGACTTGATTTTTGAAAAGCTAGAGCCTTTGAGATTCAAAAGCTGTTTTGGAATTAGTTTGACCAATTTTATGAAAGTATTTCTTCTAATTAGAAAAACTTTTATAATAAGCTGGTCCAATATAGTTTCCTCTAAAAGCACTTTTGGAATAGGAAGTTCATTTGAAAATTAATTTTCAAACAAAAATTAAGGTAACTTACAGAAAACAAAAGTCATGTCAAATGGATCCTTAAGTTTGAATCAAAACTAGAAGCATTGAATCATCTTTACGTGTAATTGGCTGCCCGGATAATGATGCATTACTTGAGATATCTTAAATTATACACTATTCATTTGATTACCAACCCGTCACATGCAAATCCATGTTTTGCGCAGATAGAAATTGTATAGAAAAATGACGCGTACAAATTTGGTGGAAGATGTGCCGAAGTGGTCTAAGTTGGTGGGAGGACTTCGAACAGTTGAACGATGATGCTACCAGCCTGTCTCAATGACTATACCTTAATAATTTATTTGTTATTTATTCGTCGAATAAAAAAATCATACTTATTCCGATGGTATCGTACCAATATGCCCAATATGAAAGACTAGTTATAGTTCTATTGAAAGATACGAGACTTTACTACAAAGACTCGTAACTTTTTATGATATGCTCATTTCGGATATAGATTTATGACATGAAATTCAAGAGAAGTTTATTATCGAGACGGTATTTGGATTATGATTTGGGATGATACCTAAAGATCAATTATAGCATGAGGATAGAGAAAATATTTCGAGGAAAAAAAAGTCAAGACTAAAATATTCGTTAGATCCTCCTAGAACTTAAGGAGTCATAGAATGAATTACGAAGTAGTTGCCGTTATAGTTGAAATTGGTGAGGAAAAACTGTTAAATCAAAGCGCTTTTTCGAAATCGTCATTTTGGTGCCAACAAATCCATAAGTGAATCGTGAAAATCTTGTTAGGAGCATCAAATTGTATTATGACTTTATATTAGCTTTTATTATGTATGAATTTAGCCTAAAAAGGTACTTCAACGCTATTAATTTTTATTGTGACTTTATAGTGATTTATTGGTATTTAAATTTATAGTCTGATGTATAATTAATTTTAGTCAATAAAGTAGAAAGCTACTTTATAATAAATATACTATTTATGTTAAAGGGTAAATTATGAGCCGGCCTACATGTACAGGAAATACACAAATAGGTGGGGTCCTTTTTTTTTTTTTGCAATATTTAGAGTGTGTTTGGGAGAAATTTTTGTTGGATTTTAATCAAAATTATAGCCGTTAAAATCAACCCGTGGGCTCCACATGTGAGAGGGAAGGTAAAAAATGGTGGCTCATTTGATAGTTAACGGCTAGATTTTTGATTAAAATTCTGATTAAAATTTCTCCCAAATAGGGCCTTAATTCACATGGGACCCACCCCCATGTGAGTATCTGTTCATTTTCTATCTGATTTTTTCTATATACAAGTAGAAACAATCGGAAAAGATATATGACAAACCATGGTTTAAAATCAAACTAAACGGTTTGATTTGAAAATTTGTCATTATTGGCCTAAATCGGATTACATACAATCCTAGCCGAAGTTTGACCTTTGAGGCCAGTCCTTGATACAAGTGAACAAATCGTCAATTGCTTTCTTATGTAACAGCTATTAAACTCGAATTGGACCAGCTGGCCCCACTGAGAATCGAAACAATCGAACTTTGGGCCGATCTTGCTAGTATATATGGGACCTATTTGATGTTGAATAGTCGGTCCCCTGCAGTGCATTTAACCTTATTTTTAGAAGGTAAAATGACATTGAAAATTTAATAAATAAAATTACTATTTTTGTGTTCAATAATTAACTTTTAAAGCTTCTATTTTATTTCAATAATCAAAAAACAAACAAAAAAATTCAATAGTTTAATTTATAATTTTTAAAATTCTTATGGATAAGCATTGATTTATAGGTTCAATAATTGACTCGAAAAAGCCCCCCGGGCACATTCAAGTTGGCAAAGGATGTGCACTGCTGAACTTGCAACCTTAGAGTGGGGAGTTCGATTCCTGGATTGAGCAGCTGAGTGTTGTAATACTCAATTTGGGTGAAGCAACTTGATAATGTAATATCCATGGAGGAAGGCTCTCTTGGGGTCAGGAGTATAAAAGGTGCACAGACCCTAGTCAACTTGGACATATCCCGCGATTTACCTCCACCCATCACTGAGGGACCGGGGATGGATAGTCCAAAACATAGTATGGTGTAAGTTAGGATACCTGGATATCAAAATAATAATAATAATAATTGACTCGAAAAAGTTTCCAAGTCAATATCGATACCAAACATAATAACTATTAAACTATACCCTCCAATCAAGCATCCCGTCAATAACAATAATGCTACTTGTAAAGCTTTTTCCTTACGTCGAGGATGACATTCACCTTTTTTTCAAAAATTCGTCGTGGCAAAGGTGTCTTTTCTTTTGAAAAAAAAAAAAATCTTGTCTAATAGGATGTTGTCACATGACACAGCAAATCCATAAAAGGCCAATCTCCATGAAGTCTTGATACCGACTGTTAAAATTTAGTAACTTCAACTCCGTTAACAACTTATGAATAATTTTTTCGGTCTAAGCCCAGAATAGAAGATCTTATTAAAATTTCATATCATCAGAACTAATGAAATCGACCAAATAAAAAGACAAATATTAAAGTCTGGAGTTTTACATCTATAGATCATTCTCAATTTGTCATTTTATTTTTGGCATCAGCATCCCACCAAACTGAAATACAAGCAGCTAATAGATTAAGGAAGGAAATCAAGACTGCAATTTGAGTTCCAAATTCTCTATGATGAAGAAGACATAATTTCGGGCTTTTTGCACAGAATCATATGCATAGGAGTGAAAATTCCCGACTCACCGCCTCTAGTCAAGTAATCAGCAGTGACGAAAAGCATTTCATGCACATCAACAACACCTTTAGGAGCAATCCCCACCCAAGCAAGAATTGTGACTAAGATGTGATTCCTCCAATATGCAATCCTCCCCATTTTAAGCCTGCTCCACCATGGATTTGAAGGTGGCTTGGCTAAATCTTTCTCTTTTATCACTTCAAATCCCACTTTTCTTGCAACCTCTGCAATATCCGTGTAACTCCTTAGCCCGGGCAGTGCATCGCCTCTCTCAATCCCCTGGATTACTTCCACATGTTCCGGGTCGTCCCCACGGTACAATTCAGTGGTCACCCATTCATACGAGACATACATGGATCCAGGCTTTAAAACCCGGTAGATCTCGCCGTATACTTCTTCCAGTTTAGGTGCATGGCAAGTGGCTTCAATTGAATAGGCTCCGTCGAAACTGTTATCACCAAAGGGCATCTCGAGAAAATTACCACACACGACTTCGCATTGTTTGTCAAGGCCGGCCTTCTTGTTGTGTGCCCTAGCCCGATTTACTTGATATTCGTTGATGGTGATTCCTACTACATTAGCCCCCGAATGGGCTGCAATAGCCCGCATCGGACCACCTACACCACAACCCGCATCGAGAATACGAGCCCCCGGCTTCAAATTTAAGAGATCCACGGCCATTTCTTCGTGGATGCGAGTGGCCTCTCGGTGAGATTTACCAGGAATCGATGGCGAAAAATGGAAAGATTGGCCCCAGCCCCACTCATAAATATCAGTCACAAGATTGTAGAAAGTGTCCACGAAGTCAGGCACCTTCTCGGTTGTCTCAATTTCTTTGGGACGGCGGAAAAAGGACGCGTACTGGTCGTAATTGTCTTGAACTTTCTCCTTAGCGATGGAACCGCCAGACAGTTGAACCGCGTGCTTGCCCTTCTGTTCGGCAGATCCAAGAATGCAAACAAACCAGTAGAGACCACCGGCTAAAAGGGCGACAGTGCAGAGAATAGAGATAGAATCCATGGATGAAAGAAACCTGAAAAAAAAAAATATGTGCGTGCAAAGTTGGGAGTGGAAGGAGCTATAGATATTTTTTAATGTGCAGAGGGTTGTTGTGGGATTGTTATCGTGGGTTCCAATGGGGAGATGTAGTTAATGTCAAACACATCACGACGCGTATGAGGTGGGTGGGGGAGTGTAGGGCTCTTGGTCTTGGATGACAGGAGATTCAAAGATTGTGATTGATAGAGGATTTGGGTGATCCAACGGTGGATGATCCATAAATGACAGGACAGTTCTTCGAATCACAATAGTTCATTCAATCCAGTACTGAGTGGATAAGAGAGAAATAAATTACGTGGGCGAACCCAATTAACGTTTAACAAGTGTGAGAATTTGATACGTCTTGATTTAAGTGGAAAATAATGCCGCCTTTAAGTAGACTTTATCTCGAGGAGATTTAATTTAAGAGGATAATAATGTCATGTGTGCATATACAATCATCCCATTAAATTAAGAAAAAATACATAATTATCGTAAGTTTAAGACACTTTTTAAGAAACTCGTAAAATTATCTCAAAAATTAGGTGGTCACTTGATAAAATTGTTGTAACACATTTATTAATTAATTAGGTTAAGGTTACAATAACGTATAATTAATGGTCATAATTACATATTAGTAACAAATCATATGTCACACTCGCAAAAATGCATAATGTGGGTTATAATTACAAATTTAGTTACAAATCATACATTTTTATAAGTCACGATTTATTTATCGATCACAAATTACCTATTTTATTGATCACAATTACCCAAATAATTTGTCACAAACGCCATTTCATCCCCCACCACTCCACCTGACCTTCACTGGCCTCACCCCAATGTCGTTGTCATCTCACCACCACCAACACATGTTCTTCCATTGCATCTCTACATGCAAATAGTAGCCTCATCCCGATGTTGCCACCTCACCAACACCATCACTTGTACCTCCCTACATCTCTACGTGCAAATATTTACTTCACACCAGCACCACTTTCCAAATTATCGCCGTCGCCTTAATTCCACAACCCACCACCACCATCTACACCTCACCAGCACATCACAACATCCACCGCACCCACCTTCAACTAAACCATCATGATGCAAATATGTACACCACAATCAGCCACCACACAACCACCAGCACCACCACAACATCCACCACACCATAGATGGACGTATCTACACCCACCTCATAGATAGAGTAAAAGAGCTTACAGAGTCGGGGTGGGAGAAGAATAGGACGAAGAAAGTGACGAGTAACATGAGTTAGAGAAATTCGGTAGCTAAAGATATTACGCAATTCGGATCCAAATCCACTACTAGGATCGATTCGCCCTTCCTAGACTGCCATAGCCATAAGAATTACCTAGCTCCTGTTTGACCCACATTAAAATTTTCATTCTCATTCTTCTACTCATTTTTAAACACACATTTTTCAATAAAATAATATTTTTCATCACATCAATAACTTTTTCTTCTTTTTCAACCACACATTCTCCATTAATCTATTATTTCAAAAT